ATATACATATACATATATATATACATATACATATATATATATATACATATACATATACATATATATATATATATACGTATACATATATATATATACATATATATATATATATATAATTATCATTATTTATTTATTTATTATTTTTAAGTTAATCATTTGTCATTGTGACATCCGCTCGGGGAGCAGTGAGTGGGGATGGTGCCATGCTCAGAGCACCTCAGAATTGCCCCCTAGAATTATTTATGCATTATTGTATTTTTTTTTTTTTTTTATGTTTACTGTAGTTGGATTCTTGATTGACTGACTCAAATTGTAATTTGTTTTCCAAAGCCACAGAGCCACGGCCGGTGGATAAAAGAGTACCATATGTGTACTATGACTGTAGTACACATATGTACTAACCACTTTGTCTCAGTGGACTGAAAAGAATTTGCCTCAAAGCCCAGATACTCCAAGTTGTAGCATTTGAGCCGTCCCAAATACATCCCTAACAAGCAGTGGTAAATCGTCAAGGCCAGCCAGGCTTTCTCTACTGGCCTAAACGGTATCAGAATCAGTGACTTATTTTTCAATATATCTTATCATAAATATTTATAAAATAACAGAGTAGTCTGCTCATCATTTCATAGCTTTTCTCTTAGTTGCGTTGCTATCAATCGTGTACATATATGCTGTTAGTTTTTTTTTTTTATCCAATCACATTTGAGCCATCATGTGTTGCCAGGGGCAAAGAAATCTACCTGAAGGACTTCTGAATCAGTAGGCCTAACCTGCGGATGCAAGGAGCCTTCAATGAATGGCAACGGAATTGTTTCTTGAACCTATTAGATTTTGACTTGGCAACAACAGGGCCTTGTTGGGTTAGGTTTAGCAGGTTACGTTGATGATTTGAGTGTTTTGATTGGACGGTCAAACAATGCAATGAGTCTTGAATCTAAATGCAAATTTAAACTTTCAGCATTAGCATGGGTGGAGATAGAAAAACTTGTTTGGCAGAACTGCAACACGTGACTAATCTGTACAACAAAATAATTGAACATTGCTAGAGAGGAGGATGGATTTTGTGTACAAATAATTAGGATGTATTAGTGGGTTGTATTTCAAGCTACTGAGTACAAGACCTTGACTTTTCACCAACAGATCATTCTTACCAGTGTGGTCAATGTCATCCGTGTCACTATCATCAGTTTCTTCTGTGTTTTCTTGAGTACCACGCCTCATGATGATGTCACTGGGTCCAGCAATTTCGGATTCTTCTGTACAAATAAGCCAAGAAAGTAATAAAAAAAAAAAGTTCAGTACTGCCAATATAATCCCATTCACAGCTATTTCAATAAGAATCCCAAGTGTTTTGACAAGCACATAGCAGCATTCCATTTTTTAAATGAAGCAGCTTCATTTAAAATGAAAATAGCTTACTTTAAAGGTGACACTCTGAAGTATTTGCACTAAAGTACAAACAACTGAGCTTCTAAGCCTCTACCTTTCGCAATTAAGCCTGAAATGTTGACAGCTCCCATGTCCTTCCGGAGATGCTCTAGTTGCTGTTGCTGCTTTTCTAGGTGAACCTGAGCCTGTTGCAGAAAGTGTCATGGTGAACTGATGATTAAAGTCCGATAGAAAAGGCAGATAAAACAAAAACATAATTACCAGCTGATTGTGGAGTCTTTCATATTCTGGTAGATAGTCCCTAAGTAAGTGTGATAGACACAGGTTACATGACTACAAATGTTTTTATCACTGCACTAACAACAAAGAACATCAGCGCCGCCAACTCACCTCTCATATTCCTTGGCAGCATCCTCAACCTGTTCCAACAGCTTGTCAAATCCACTTCCTGTCACTGCTGACACACCCACCACCTGCAAACAGCCGATGAGCACAAGCGATTACCGTAATGTCCGGTACTATTGAGCGCACCTGGATATAGGCCGCACCCAATAAATTAAAAAAAGAAGAAGAAAAAAATAATGGGCTCCCCGGCCGTATTTGGAATCTCAGGGGAGACTGAGTGATCTGCTCCAGGGCCGAAGCTAAAATTAGCTCTGGGGCTAACTCACTTCACCTTGTGCTTGTCCACAGCACAGGTAAACAGAAACAGGGAAGTTGGAGTCTTTATCATCAGCCACACCGAGCGCAGCAGTACATAAACAGCTTCAACATTACAGGGCTGTAGCTGCTCTAAACTTTCGGTTACGTTCTCTCGCACGCGCGCCCCATGTAAATATACGCACACAGCCATTCACAGACAGACGCTACTAGTATAACACACAGTAGCCTCCCAGAAAAGTCATTGTAGTGGCCTATAGTCCAGAAATCACGGTAATAATTGGGCTAGTATCGAAAAGGACAGAAAGGACTAGCAGATATTGTTATTGTAAATTTTCCAAAGTCCAAAGATGAAAGATGGAGATTTGCAGTCTCACCCACTTCTATTGCTTCTATCAGAACAGTCACAATAACAAATATCCAATACAGGTAGAGTAAAAAAAAAAAAGATCAGACAGTAGCACAGGCCATAGAGGAGGGGTTGCAGCCTTTTACATCCAATTTACTAATCAGTTCTATATGTGTCTGTGGCCTGAAGGTTGCTAAGGTTCCATTACACCTCAGCATTGCCACAGGCTGATCAACTCCATGCCACACCTGAAGCTATTTGCTATCTGTGGGGATATCTGAGGTTGTTCAAACATTTCAGATAACTGAAAGTCTGATACCTATGGGATTTCAGAAACCTGTAAGTTTTGTTTTGATAAAAAAAAATAATCTGGGTGTCATCATCTATTGAAAAGTGACATGATATTAGAAACATTTATAGAGACTTCAAATTGTTGTCCTCTTACCTTTAGGTTGGTGTAAAATTCCTCGAGCACCAAACTCATGGAGCGCATTAGGTTGCTCACATATGAAGTTTCTTGTTCAAGAGCATCTTGAAAAACCTCAAAGTCCAGCATCCACTCCAATGCAAAACTGTGATTGATGATATCTGTCTATTACATTGACAGTTCAATTAAAATGGATACATTAAAAAGAAAAAAAAAGAAAATCTCTTCAAACTTTTAATACAGGTTTACAGCAAGGAGATAAACTCACCTTGTTCATGGCAATAATGAATGGCAGCTTAGTCTTGTAAAGGATACTGGGTAGGTAGAAACACATGATCGAGAATGGCAAGATTAGCATCGCAGTTAGAGACGACACTTAACTAGCATTTATATGTACAGTCAGAAGAAGAATACGCCCGGCGTTGCCTCCCTGTCTTGGTGAACGTGTGTTCGCCTTCTGTCATCCAATGATCCCACGCAGCTCGCAATTTAACTTTGAACGCCCTGTTAACACCAATATTTAGCGGTTGGAATTCTTGGGTTAATCCACCCGGAATGATGGCAAGCCCCGATTACTTTGCCTCACTTGGGTTTGGACAATATCCATGAGATGGGCGCGCAGGGAGTCGCAGATCAATACATAGATACCGAGATTTCTGGAAAAGGGTAGTGACCTAAGTTGGACCCAGGAGGGCGCTGTCGTTGTTTGCCCCTCCAGGCGGGTGTCTATTTTTGACGCTGTTTCGTATGGAAGTGCGGATGTTGTTTTGCAGCGAGCGTGTGTGTGTGTGTGTTTTCCCTGTATCGATAAAAAAGGAGTTTTTGACCAGGAAAAAAAATCTCCATGCGTCTGAGTCGTCCTGCATCTCATCATACGTTGACAATACAAAAACACAACGTAGAGTGTCCGAGTTGTTGGAGGCACGACACGACATTGACACGGATTTGAGTTACACAACCATACTGTAACAATTGTTGTTGAGCATGTTCTAATTGTGATAACAGAGTTAAACTTCATTGTTGGCTCCCAGTGTGCTTCATTTGTGTGCCATCATGTGTGGTGCGCAGTGTGGTTTGGCTTTACAAAATAAGTTCGAGGTCAGTAAGCACAACCAGAAGAACCGAACCGGGTTATAAGGCGCACTGTCGATTTTTGAGAATATTAAAGGTTTTTAAGTGCGCCTTATAGTCTGGAAAATACGGTAATCATTTAGTATATGTATATTCTTGTGTATTTTCATGAAACACAGCAAATTAAACAGTCCATTACCTGCAGGCGTAGAGCATATTAGACATGAATGTGATGGGATTGACGCTGCGTGGCGTGTCCATCACATAGACCACAACACAAGGGAAAGTTGAAGCCTAAAGAGACAGGAAGACAAAAAAAAAATGAGATCTAACACAAAAATAAAAGTAATGATAATTAACAGTATTTAAGCCTGGAATGACAATAAAATGATAATCAATAAATCCATTGATCACACGATAAATGTAAATGGAGTTGTTCATTTTGCCGGCCTTATCAGCAATATTTTGTGGGACATTATTTCTTCCCACAAAATGTGTTTAGGACGTAGTGGTCTCAAAATAATGTTGACAATGTTATCATTTATCAGCAATATTTTGTGAGACATTATTTCTTCCCACAAAATGTGTTATTGTCACAGGCCTACCTAGACCTACCAGAGCCTCAGTGATGATGGTTCCAGATGCTGACCAGGTGAAAACCTCAATTTGACCCGGCGTGTCAATCAGTATGTACCTGAGAAAAGTACAGAATTTGTGAGAATGTAGAGTACTGTTTTTATAAAATGTGAAGTCTACCGTCTAAATAAAAAGTTGAACTGCATCTGCTGCTTCTAAACTATCTGTGAAGTTCAGTGCTTACTCACTTTCTCTCACACGCATAAGAACAAACTTAACAAAAATAGGAAATTTTTTTTTGGGGGGGACTTTGCATAGTCTATTGAACATTAGCAAGAACTTTGTTTTGAACCTTTACTGTTACCAGTAAGTTTCTTAATTCACCGCCATGTTTGAAGTAGACACCAAATGTCCACCAGTAAACGAGGGGAGATGATACAGAAACCAACAGAATACGGAAATAAATGAAACAGTATGTTGCCCACCTCATTTTATTTTTGTCCAGTTTGGTTCTTATAGCATTTCATATTCTCACTTGCACACCTTTCCGAGACACCTTTCATTTTAAAAGAAAATCGAGCGGCACCATGCAAGCAGTGACTTGCAGTTGTGACAGTGATTTTGATTTTATTTCGTTTTTCATTTTCTATTAAGGTCACTGTTTTGTGTACAGCATAATTAGGACTTTAATTTACGAACTTTCTCAGTAGTTTTAAAAAAAGCCCACCCCACTATTTGAGAAGTACTGCTTTAACTCCTTTAACTCCCCCGGAGTACAATACCTCTACTACTGACTATTCTACTCTACTTGGAGTACAGTACCTCTACTACTGACTATTCTACTCTACTCTAAAGGGGTAAAACTTTCAGTGGCTCGAAAGAGGAAGAGAGCTGGCCTTGCATCAAACCTTGCCTGCTGTTGGCTCAAAAACCTCTGGAAGGTTCTATGGTAAACTGAATCCAGTTCAAATAAATAAATATTCGGCTTAGGGCTATCAAACAACATGCTCTGCCGTAGAGTACCAAACGCTGGACATAATCACAATCTAGGGGTGGGGACGCAATTGTCTTGATTATATATTGAATTTAATAGAAAAAATCCATAATCGGCGATTCAAAAACTAAAATTTGTATTCTACAATCTCAACAGCGAGGCTATGAGATGGTAAAAGTCATACACGCAACATGCTGCACATTGCACGTAGATTCCTTATTGAATTGGCTAATTCAAAAAAACATTATCGGTGTAACTAATGTGCATCACTGTAGAAGTTCTGTAAGAATGACTGACTAGAACCATAGCTCCAGAACAGCAACATTCAACTTGTTTTAGAAGCTAATGCAGGCAGCACCTCTTGAATAAAGAGAGGATATAAGGTGGAAAAAAGACAAGAAATGTACTGTAAAAAAAACAACTACCATGAGCCCCAATATTACTGGTTTCTATTAAAGGGCACAGGGCAAAAAAAAAAAAAAAAAAAAAAACTAAGTACCAGTTTCAACAACTAAGTAAATGTTTTATGATCTGCCAAAATCAGAAAGTGTGTCTCTAAACAATTTCGAAATTGTCCGTTACAAACAAATCAAAAAGTCACCACCGTCTTGCTGATTTCACTGACATTTGATTCTGTTGATCTACAAGGATATACTGTATATGTAGTCTTTGTTATCTATCTTGTGTTTCCAACGTCTAGCACTAACATTAAAAAAAAATAACATCTAGGCATAACGGCAATACATTTCTTCCCGGGTGTGCCCGAGTACAGCTCTGACTGTGGCCCCCCCACAAATTTGTGTGATTTGTGTCCTGCCAAGCAGAAGCAAGTGCTGACCTGTGATTTTGCTGCTTCTTCTCTATGAAGTGCATCACCTGTAGGACACAAACACATGTGTATATATGTGTGTGTATATATGTGTGTGTGTGTGTGTGTGTGTGTGTGTGTGTGTATGTATGTATATTATTCACATTTAGTCACATTATTGAGAGTAGCAATAGGCAGAAGACAGGAGTCGGATCTGGAGGTGGCAGAGTTAAAGATGCTAAGATTCTCTTTAGGAGTGACAAGAATGGAGAGGATCAGGAATGAGGTCATTAGAGGGACAACACAGACAGGAAGGTTTGGAGAAAAAGCTAGAGAAGCCAGATTGAGATGGTTTGGACATGTGCAGAGGAGGGACAGTGGATACATTGGTAGAAGAATGTTAGAGATGGCGCTACCAGGTAGGAGACAAAGAGGAGATATATGGATGCAGTGAGGCAGGACATGCAGATAGTTGGAGTCAGAGTAGAAGACGCAGAGAACAGGGAGAGATGGAAAACAATGGAAAAGAGGTCACATCATTGAGCAATTTTCATGCAACACATACAGTATAGTAAATTATCTTTTTCCCCTTCTTTCCTCTTTCCCCTGCCTCCCTCGCTTCCTCTGCAAAATAGGTCTACATGAATATGACCGATAGATAGATTAGATAAATAGATGGATGGATGGATGGTTAGATAGATAGATAGATAGATAGATAGTTCTACATGAATATGATCGATCGATAGTTTAGATAGATAGATAAATGGATGGATGGATGGTTAGATAGATACTAAAAACAAAAACTCAATGTTCTTTAGGACTACGAACTTGAGTACATTCTCTTGCTACAATACTAAAGTACTTTTTCATATTTATTTATACTGTGAATGACATTACTTATTGGGCTTGAACTGGGACCAGGGTAAGACAATTTTGTTTATCCCATGTCTAACATACGTTGAAATGGCAATAAAAACCTCCATGAATCCTTGAACTGTTTACCTGGTCAAAGCGTGTAGCAAAAAGATTGAGTGAAGTTACAATTCCTCCGTTTGGTCCAAGGCAATATTGCTTCATCACTTCCTTGTAGTTTACAGTGTCTCTAATGTCTGGAAAATAAAATGAAACACAAGTTTAATAAAATCACAAAGAACAGCTACTGGCCAGTTTCACATTGGATGACTATGTGGCGAATCAGCATAGCAGTACATCCCTTTGTTTACTAATAAACAATACCTCACACTTAATGTACATTGGACCTCAATGACAAAATAAAAAAAAAAGTCATGTAAAACATAACTAAAGTAAGTCAGTATTACACTACAAGTTGGAGTTGAAAAGTCAAAGTACTAAGGTAAGTCAGTATTACACTACAAGTTGGAGTTGAAAAAGTCAAAGTGGATTATTGTCACGACTGAACACACTGTCACTGCCTTTAAACCCAGTAAGTAATGCTTGAATGATAACAAGTCTCCAGGCTCTCAATAGTATTTCAATTCTTAGGGGTGCAGGTCCGTTTCAGATTTCATAAAAGAAACCAGTTAAAAACGGAGTCAATTGCTGAATTCGTGGCTGAGCTGAGAAGATTGTCTGAGCATTGTGATTTTGCTATTGAAATCGCCACGACAATGGAAGCTGCTGCCAAAGGTTCTGTCGAACTTCAACAGCAGATGGCGCATGCAAGTATGCAATGTACACAAAAATAGACAAAAGACAACATAAAAATGTTTCATGCTATCGGTGTGGAAAGAAGTCCCACACTCCAGCTGAACGTTGGGTTAAAGATAAGGAGTGCAGACAATGCCAGAAAATAGGTTACATACAGAAAATGTGCAAACATCCCCCCCCCAGAGTTCAGCGAAATCAATCATCAAGAAATGGAAGAAATATGGCACGTGTGAATCACCCTTGTAAACTGAGTGACCACGCAAGAAGGAGACCAGTGAGAGAAGCCACCGAGACCCGTTCGAGTTACAAGCTTTAGCTGCTGAGATGGCCAGAGACTGTGCATATAGCTATAACTGCTTCCCGGGTTCTTCACCAGACAAAGCTTTATGGGAGGGTGTTATGACCCTTGCCTGAGGACATGTATCGTGTGATTGTTATGGGAGGGTGTTATGACCCCTGCCTGAGGACATGTATCGTGTGATTGTGTTTTATGTGTTTTCTGTCTCCTATCAGTGTATGTGGGTTTCTTTTGTTTGTTTGTTGCAGTGTCACGACATGGAAACTGAGCGGATTAGTCGATGGCGTCCAATTAAACTGACTGGCTGCCAGCCCCCTTCCCCTTTTTCCCCTTCATCATCCAGGCCTGCTGACACCTTGCCATGTGCTCCGTGTGGTTTATCTTATGTAATCTTTGATTGTTGGTAATTAGGTGGAAAATAGAGGAGTGAGAAGCCCTTGTTTTTGTTTAAAACATTTTCTCTTGTTCTCTTATTGGTGAGCCCAGGTTGAAAACCCTGTATTTTGTTTTCTTTTGTTTGTTGTAGGAAAAAGCAGGGTACTCTTAGTTTTGTTTGTTGTATGCTGTATGCATTGTTTCCTCACTTCCTCGCAAAATAAAATGCTGCTTTAATACTTTTAGACTTGGCCACATTCTTGGGGATGAGAAGCAAAAGGGGGGGGGGGGCTACAAATCTTGCTATGCACCAGTTCCCCGGGAAGTCGAAAACCACTCCCCCCACACATGTATATAAGCGTTATACAAGTTATTCTTGAGAGGAAGTTAGTTCTTGGATTTGCGTATTAACAACTGTAGTACGAGATTTCCTTGAATACTTCTCCAGTCGTTTCATTTTGCTAGTTGGATCTGTTTGTTTTGGCATTTGTTATTAAATGAAACGACCATCTTACCGGCTGTTTCCTTCCTTCAGGCTACCTACGAGGTGATTAAACTTCAAGAAATCGTTCAACTGGGCCGTCAACTGGATTGATTATACCAATGATTTTTAAACTGGTGCCGTGACCCAGATCAAAATATAGCAAGAATCTTTCAAGACGAAAAAAAGAGAATTTGTGGGTAGACTTGTTTAGGGCTTTTCATACTCGATACCCGCACAACCTGACAGAACTTGAGCAGTTTTGAAAAGAAGAATGGAGCAAAGTTGCAGAGTGCATGATGTACATGACTGATTGAGACTAATCCACACAGACTCAGTGCTGTGATTGCAGCCAAAGGTGCATCTACTAAATACTGACTTTAAGGTGCTGCTTCAAGTCGCCGCTGTTAGCCCGAGTTCCAAACACTGACCTGAAAGAAGGCAGTTTTTCCAGAACCCGCCATCCCCAAAATGATAAGACATACTGCTTTTCAATGGGGACAGCACCCTAAAGCCCAGTATCCTGGTCAGTTACTAAACACTCTCGATTTTCCATTGATCTACTAAATACTGACTTGAAGGGGGTGAATAGTTATGCAAACAATTATTTTTTCTTTATATAATTTTGTTTCATTAACATTAGATAGGGCATTACATGGGACAGTGGTGGCTTAGTGGTTAAGGAAGAGGACTTGTGTCCGGAAGGCTTCAGGTTCGAGTCCACCAGTTGCCAAGTTACCACTCAGGTGCTCTGAGCATGGCACTGTCCCCACTGGCCCCTAAAGCTGCCCACTGCTCACTTTGGTGGTGGGTTAAAAGCGTTCATATTTCGTTGTGTGCTGTGTCACAATGACAAGTAGTTCACTTAACTTCCTTACTTCATAGAACTATATACTTTTTCCCTTTGACATTAAAGAGTTTTTTTTTCCAATAAATGTGTTAAAAAAGCCAAATTTTATTGACTCAATAAATGTGTTAAAAAAGTCAAATTTTATTGACCATTTATTGATATATGAAAGCAATAAAAGTGTAATACTTATGCTAAGCGCTGTTACTTTCACAACATACATATTGTCTTCTGTTAAAAGGTTGAGTAGACTTTACTTAATTAATTTAAATTATTATTATTTATGCATAAACATAGTTAAGTAATAGATAGTTAATATTTTCATTGAAATTAAGAATTAGGACCAGAATTAAGTACATTTTAATATTTTCATTGAAATCAAGAATTAGGACCAGAATTAAGTACATTATGCTCAATACTGGCTAGTGAGATTTAGTTGATCACGCAACAGTAAAAGTTACTTAGTAACAGTTAGTGCCAATTGTTACCAGCATTTTATTAAGTAAATTCAGTACGTTATATTTTTGGATGCATATGTTTTCATTAAAAAAATTTTTTTTTTTCTCTTACCGATGTTTGCAGGGAATGGAACATGCTGTACAGCGGGGTCCAAGTTGATAACATACGGAGGAGATTTCAGAGAGTGAAGATAAGCTGTTAACCTCTGAAACAAAATTAAAAAAAACAAGTTAAACCGGACTTATTTCTGTATTACACACCTTAGTACACACTACCTAAAAGGGTTGCTCATAACATCTATTGTTAGTTAAGTGTCAGAGCTACATTTTAGACTTCTTTGATAGAATAAGGGTTATTACAACACATACGGTCTGTTACGATCGTTATAAGATATAAATGCCCAGACCATTTCTGTGTTTAGTTCTGATACCAATACAACGTTGGTGAAATGTTTTAAAAACCTGTGAAAGTTGGGTACCGCAAACTTTGAGAACGATACATTAGTATGGTGGCAATTTTTAAACGCCTTCAAAAAAACACAGGTTGAAAATGGGAGATCCTCCAGATGTCCATTGAAATTTTTCACCCTGATATTCACCCTGTATTGTTACAGTTTAAACCATAACTCACATGACGGAGGGTAATTCTGGTCTCGGAAATCTCAAGGTTTGCTCATGCCACTATACAGCAATCAATGTAAAACAAACACCGGACAAACAGGGACTAAACTAGGGACTAACTGATTATTTATGTCACCAACCACGTTTAGTCGCTGCTGTTAGCCCGAGTTCCAAACACTGACCTGAACGAAGGTAGTTTTTCCGGAACCCGCCATCCCCAGAACGATAAGACATACTGCCTTTTTAACGGGGACGGCACCCTGAAGCCCGGTATCTTGGTCAGTTACTAAACACTCTCGATTTTCCATTGATATTTCCTCAGGTGCGCCACAAAAACTCGCCATGTTGCCACAAATGGTGTCCTCATCCGTCTGCCAAAAACCTAAAAAAGCTGTCGTAAAGTATAAAGCGACTGCAGAACTGACGTAAAGAATGGCAAAGCAGTAACTATGGTATATACTGTATGTATATATATATAATAAGCAAAATACTGTATGTATGGAATATATAGGGACATTTTACCTATATTAAGAAAGTGACAGAACATCACCCAGCTTCCTCTTAATTATTGTTATATTGTTATATAATTAATACCACTACTACCTATAATAAATGTACAATTAAAGTATATGATATAATACGTATTTAACATATATATAGATATCTTGTATAAAATGTCTTTTATAACTCATTATATTAATTGTTTATATACCTTATATTTATATATAAATATGATATATTATTTATTCCTCATTATAGTGCTCAGGCATCTTGCTTTTGTCTTTGTCTGCTGAACGGTCCAAGATGGCGACTGTATTTCTTGCAAGATCAGCTGACACTGCTGACGTTCCAGTCTGTCTAATACAGTGGTTCTCAAACTTTTTATACTCTGTACCCCATGAGAAAACATTGAGCTCTCCGAGTACCACGATGATGACCAACCACTCTCTGAGTACCACCATGATGACCAACATTAGAATATAGCAGCATAGGCCTTTCCTATTAGCTTCCACAACACAGGAGAGATGTTTATAAATGTTTTTAAAGATGTTTATGTTTATAGGTTGTATTAATTGTGCATGGTATGTTTCAGAGTTATTCAACTGAAAATGTAAATGTGAAAATATGAAATTTTCCCTGCTTACCACTAGAGGGCACTCGCGTACCACCTACCACAGTTTGAGCACCACTGGTCTAATATATTTAATGAATATGTGTGACACATTAGTCTTTCTGCTCAGCCATGAATGCGCAAAGAAAAAGTACAAGGTGAGGCAAATATTACCATACCACACTGATGGGGGCAGTGACGTGCAGTGGGATTCATTCATTCATTCAGTGGTGAACCCCATCGGCACAATGGGTAACTGCATAGTGCATGTCGTTGTATTAATGGCTTTGAAAAATCGCATTCTGCAGAGGTAAGTTAACCTGGGGAAGAAGTTATTGTGTTTTGAATGTTTCAAATGAAAATAAATAAAAACAGTGTTGGAATAACGTGTTTGACATTTGTATAACATGGTCCGCAACGAGGGGCATTCACGTACCATCGGAAATTTAATAATCTTACAATGAAGTTACCCAGGACAACCTACAGTTTGCCTACAGAGCTGAGGTCGGTGTAAACGCTAAAAGTAGCATTTTTTTTTTGGCAGAGCTAAGAAGTCAGAAGGCAACACAGTTTTCTCTATTTTTAGAAAATGAGAAAAAAAAAAAAGAACAATGTGGCCTTTTTTAGTTGATATCACCTCACATCTGAATGAGCTGAATCCGAGGCTACAGGGCTAGGACAATTCTATTTATGAACTGATGACAGCTGCCCACTCCTTTCAGAAGAAACTTGTGTATGGACAGCAGCTCACCATGTTCATTCAGAACCCATTTCTCATCACAGATGTCTGAGGGTTCTCAAAGGAAGTC